TTTGTTCCTCCCACGCGGTTCCGGTGAGCTAAGAAAATGCTTATCTCCCTGAGCTTGGCCTTCATAATTCCATTTCATCACACTTTGGCATGTTTAGGAACTTTAACCTTATGACCAACTGCTGTATGGAGGAAGTACATGTAAAAGTAGTCATGAGAATTTATTCAGTGAAAGCTAAAATAATGTGGCATGCATTGTACTAAGTCACAATGTAGTCTGTTTGTGGTTCTAGAAGTCCTAATTAAAATGAAGGACTTCCGGGGAAGATGGCCAACTGAAGATAGCTCCGTGAAAAAGTGGACTTTTTAAGGAACCAATTAACAGATCGGCTCCTTTGATCCTCCCTGGATAAAACAGATTAGAGATTGCCCAAGCTATTTCTTTTTGTTCCTCTTCCTCATGAAGAGACTGCAAGACAGTGATCTCTGGTGGAGGAGAGGAACCTGGAGATGAGGGAATTCGCCATATTTCCTATAGCCACAAACGGAGCCTTCCAAAGGACATTACATTTGGGCACTTCCCTTGCTAACTTCAGAAACTATTTATTAACAACTTTACCAAAGTTAGACAAGGCTGAAATCACCCAGTGAGTGAGAACCTTCAAACCTTATTACAAGAAAATGAAGATTTATTTTTATACCTTTTAAGAATAAACGGCAAAAAGCAAGACAAGGTTTTGGCTACAGAAAGTTTTAAAAAGATTAAGGGCTCAGAAAATGTTGGTTAAACTTTGAATATTAAGAGTTTGAAATTATTTTTAAAGAATAAATGCATGTTTGTGGGAAATAAATTATCATCGCATTCAGAGATATCTTTAAGGAACTCCACCGAGGACTGCGTCAAGACTTTAAATCAATTATGGCAGCTATGTTTTGTCTTTCTGGGAACAGTCTGTTTTCAGAACAATATGTTATAGACAAGATATATAAGAAATTCCATTTGAGAATAACATGAATGAAACTTTGGATAAGAACCTGCCATTAGATGCAAAGAGAAAACTGTATGAGGTTTTAAAAATTAAGAAGGAAATAAAAGAATAATGGGAATAATTCTTTTTAATTGGATTTACAAAAGATACTGCTTAAAGAATGGAAGAAATTCGTAATAAGGATCAAGAACTATTGAAATGGATTACAGTACAGAGAAAGATTGTTCTATACAAAAAAAAAAAAAAAGGAATATAAAATCGGCATATTCAACCAGGGTTAAAATGGGGCAAGTTGTTACTTTGGGTTTGTTTTTTTGTTTTTGTTTGTGTGTGTGTGTGTTTTTGGATTTACTGGTATTTTAACTGGAAAAATGTGGTATACTGGATTTGCTTATTTGGCATTTAAATTCTTTACTTTATAGCTATTTTTGTAACCTAATTGTTTAGTATCTAAATGCTTAGTATCTAATTGTGTGAATTTTTTTTTTTTTAAAGGAGAAATTGACTTTTTTGTTAGGTTAAATTTTAGTCTTTTTTGGTATTAGGATGCTAGGATTACCTTATATTTGTGAATAGTTTAGAGTTGAGGTATGGAATGTTTGTTTGAATGGGATGGGTTGTTATTTGGGGTGGTTATCTTTGGAACGGTTGGCATTTGGAATGGGATGTGTATTGGAGTTTTTTAAAGCAGAAATTGTCTTTTTGGTTATGTTGAACTTTAGGTTTGGTTTGCTTATACTTTTTTATGGCTTTTAAATGGAGTTTTGCTTAAAGTTAAGAGTCAAGGCATGGAAAGTTGAGTTTTATATTTGTTAATTAATTTTAATACTTTAGAGCTCTGACTTTTTGCTGACAATTGAATAAGGAGAAGATGTTACCTATTATATTAATTACTAAATGGGTTATGGGATGAAGAGTTTAGATTTCTTAATTAAGAGGGATGAAATTATGAAATTGTTTATTACTTGTCATGATGAGGGTGGGAAGTTGCTTTCTTAAAAGGGTTTTTTTTCTTTCTTTTTCTTTTCTTTTTTCTTTTGCTTTGTATTATCTTTTACTGTTCTTTTAAAAATCTTAATAAAATTATTGGGAAAAAAGAAATCATGATTAAGATAAATTATGATTCTTGTCCTTATGCCACCTCAAAGGGGAAAAAAATTATGGCTTTTCTTTTGGCAGTGACCAGATAATAGCTACCTACTTCTGCAAGTGGTCTGTTTTAAATCTTTTAATCTGTTTTAAAGGCAGCCACCACAGAAGCAGTCAGGTGCCACTGATCTTCATAAGGCATATTTCTGAGGCTTGCTGTTTTTCATCACTGCTTCATTCTCTTTATTGGATAGCAACCTGCTTAGAAAGGTGTGATATAAGTTGCTAAATATTAATGTTTTTGCTAATTTTCTGCAACCTATTGTGGTTTAGTGTAGCATTGAGAAGACTCAGATTCATATCCATCCTCAGCCACAGAAGCTCACTGGGTAATTTTTAACAAGTCACTCCCTCTTTGCCCAATTCACCTTAGAGGGCTGCTGTTGTGGGGGAAAATGAAAGAAGGAAGTGCTATGTATATTTCCTTGGGTTCCTGAAGGAAAAGTGTGACAGAAATCTAATCACTCAGTAACAGCTTCTCAGTAGATCATCCCTGTCCACCAGTTGCTTTAAAGTTCCTTTTCTGTGCATTTGCTGCAGACTTAGGACTTAGAGTACTTTGCACTTATGAATTTTTCTATTTTTGCTATTTCTCTTTCTTCCAGCTTGGTGCCCTTCTCCTAAATCTTCTATTAACATATCTCATACTGTAATCTGACTGAATTGGAATTCAGGTTTGAATTTTTAATTAAAATTCAGTTTCTTCAATTCAGCCTTCCTGTACTGCAGGGCACAGATTTTGCTTCATGCCCATCCATCCATAGATAAAAACATGAAAATTATCTTATTTGTTAAGTATGTCCTAATTAAAATAGGACCAGGAAGACCCAGTATAAGTCCTCCTTTGCTATAAAAGCTCACAGGATGATTTTGGGCTGATCACAGAGTAATGTTAAAGAAAAAATTGGAGGAAGAAGTACTATAAAAAACAAATGTTTCTCAACATTGGAATGCCTGTCATTCTATATTACAGTGCTATTATTATATAAATAATTATGCTGCTTAAACATGATCAATTTTCCATAGCTGGACAAGCCTCTACATGACATTGAATAGGACAGAAAAACAGAAGTCAAGGTATGAATTTCAAGGTATGAATTATATCAACCATTCTGAGGGCTACATTTAAATGACTTATTACTACTAAATGAGAAAAGAAGTTCCAATCAAATACTTTTTTAAAAAAGAAAAATCTTACTCTTTTTACATGATGGTACTTTGGGAACCCAACTGCTGTTCTTTTCACATCGAATCAAAGGATTTCCAACCATAAAATACCCAATTTTGCACTGAAATGCAACATTGCTCCCATACATATATGACTTCTCAAATCCAGTTATTTTTATTCCATGTTCTACCACTGGATCTTTACAGAACACCACTAAAAGAAGATAGGAAAATAAATACAAGCTTAAGAAATAGAACATTACGAACTGTTTCTGTACATTTTTCCATCTATATTTTACCTGTACATAGACCAAAAATATAGTACAGCATAAATCTCCAGTGATTTTTCTTCCAAAAGGCAAGCCTTCTTCCTGGAACTTTGAATCAAAACATTTAAAACTTTTAACTTTTATTCTTCTATATGCCACTTAGAGTTACTTCAGTGATTGAAATAGCCAATATATTAACTAAATTTATAAATAAAAATCAGTTAAGGAAATACATTTATATGATTAAGAGAAGGCTACCATTAAACAAACTGAGAAAACTGGATATGAATATTATGCTTAGAAATAAAGCAAAATAATTATTCAATGTTCTTGAAACAGGTAAGGAAAAAAGGAAGAATAGTACAAGTGAATTTTTAAAAAGGAAGGGGAAAAAATCAACCTTGGCATATGGGTGGTTTCCCTTTCCACCGTCCTGTTAGATCTCTATTACCGCTGCAAGAAATAGAGGATGGCCCAATAAGGGAGAGATTTTTATTGCAACTGTAGTTTATTATTGTTCCATAAGGGTAAGTGCTTGCATTCCCATTGTGAAATCCATCAATAATATTTGGAGGCTCTCTACAGTAAATTCCTGGTGAGGAGGAAAAACAATTTAGTAAAAATATTATATCATCATGGAGAGAGTCTTAGACTACAAATAGTGTATAGGCAAGAATGAGGAATTATCAGTAGTTACCATTTTTAACTGATTCTCTGTTGAGATCCATAAATAGAAAATGTATCTGTACATATACATAAAATTCTAAGAACTTATTAAAAAAATGGAAATCTTTTAAGGCCCCAGGAGATAATGGAGCTGTGGTGACTTGCTTCCAGATAAATATTGTGAGCCAATTGAAACTGTCCTCAATGTCCTAAGGATAAACCAAATATTGTCATTTAAATGCTAGAGAATGCACTGATACAAAAGGAGAGGTCTGTGTGAGTATTGCTTTCTATTACTATAATGTCCAGCTCACACCCTCTCTTTAGTTCAGTCTTTTGCCATTACTGTTGGTTATTTGATTATCCTTGTTGGTTATTTAATTTTTCAAACTCTGTAAAACTGTGCTCCATTCCACTCTGCAGAGAAGACAGATCTCCTTAATATGTTCTTAGAACAGAGAGGGAAAGGAAGAAAAGACCCAGATTGGTGAGCAAGGTAGAGAAAATGAATCAATCCTATGTGTAAAAAAAAACTAAAACAATTGCAACCACCACCATTGCATCTTCATGTGTTCTCAACAATTCTTTCTTACAACAGGAGGCAAAGCATTTTTCACACCATACAATATGCTTTCTCTGAAGGTATTTTCAGTATAGTCAGAAAAAAAAAAAAATCAACACTAAAATCCCATTTGAGAAGAACATGCTGCAACCAGAGGACATAAAGAATATATGAATGTTACTAACAATTTCTATGTGGCAATGACATTCAAAACCAATATAAGAAAAAGATACAACTGTTTTGAATGATCACTGGGCATTTATCTAATCTGAAAAACAAAATCTGTTACATACAGACATTTGCTAGCAAAGAAATAAGTGTTTCAAGAGCCTGGGTGGACAGCATGGATGCTGGAGGAAGGAACTTTTTTTTTCTTGTACAGCATACAAAATAACAAATAACATTTAAACATATTTCTTTATTTAGCTTAGGGAAGACAGCTTGAGCCTTAATGTCTAATGTACTGTTTTGCTCAGTCTATCCCTTGTGGCTTGAGATACAGATTTTGGGGGCAAGGAGAAGGAGAAGAGCAAACTTGTGTAAAGTGTGTCCATATTTCTGATCCTGAAATATAAACAAATATGGCACTATTGTAAACTTACCTAAGCTCAATTATGTTATACAAATGTGGGAACCACTAGGCAGTATCACTTTACTTCCTGAATACTAACTTCTTTTACCACATGAAAACATAATATTTTTGTCACAATTTAAATAGATTATCATCCAGTTCTACTGATTACTGGAAATATTCTTCAATAATTTTTTCTCACGTGACACTTCCCAAGCCTTTCTATTCCAAATTTACTATCAAATTTCATAACAATATGCTTCCATGCACATATATACATAAACTCCAAATAAATATTGAAGCAATGGAGTACTTTAATCCAACTATCAGTGGATCTTTACAGAGTTGAAAGCTAAAATTTTATCCTGAAAGGTATGTATAAACTACTTGATTATCTGACTGAACTCAATGAGACTTACTTCACAGTAAAAATGAATAGGATCAGATTGAATTTCCCTCAACTGATTTCCTTCTCTGTCAGCTCAGGAGAAAGAAACTAAGGCACCATTTGGTCATATGGTACCTTTTAAACCACAAATTCACAAATAATCTACTTGTGCAATAATTAACATCTATATCCTTAATGTATATTAACCAAAAACAAATAATTATACAATTGTGAGAGCACATTTTTCTGCAAATTTCTCCCATTATAGCACTGCTTATGTGTGGCTGTGTCTGGGCTGCAAAATCCAGATACCCACTAGAGGTCAGCAAAGAGCCAGAGTTTCTCTTCTGCCATCTAGCAATCCTCCAGGTTTCTGAGCCAGAACTGGCAGCTTTAGCTTATTTCTAAGAAAGCGTTACAACAACCAAATAATAGGAGGTCCTTGGTGTTTTTTATATTTCAAGTCTTATAGTAACTCCTTAAACACAACAAAAACAAATACATTTTCCGAGTAAGAAAAACACATACTTCTGCAAAAGTCTTTCACTGGTTTCCAGGAACCACGATGACATCTCATGACACTCACATTTCCAGTGACTGGTTTAAATCCTACTTTGCACTTGTAAATAATACGATGATAATATGAAATGGCTGGGAAACTAAAGGCTGGTTCAGAGCCTTCAAATACTGGTAAGTTAGCAATAAGACAGTGATCTGGGGAAAAGCAATAGTTAAAGATATCATATAAAATAATGGGAGTAAAAATTATATTTGTTCTATTAAAAAATGAAGCATTAATAAAAAAAACATTTTACATTGTATTTATAGATCTTTCCCATGGATCTTTTCCTGTGCAAACTGTCAGGATTTTCTTTCTCATGGGAAAGATCTATAAATGTCGGAAAGATGGGATTTTGTAATCAGTTATTTACTATCTGAAAAAAACTGATTTTTGTCTTGTCACTGGTTCTTTAAACTTGGTAAAAGAATTTGCAAAGAAAATGGAGAAATATTTTAAAATGAAGTATTTGGGTATGTTAAGATACTACCTTGGTATTGAAGTGCATAGAACTGAAAATGGAGAAATCTTGAGTCAGAAGAAAAAGATAGAACAATTGTTAGCACAGATGGGGATGTCAGATGC